CATGGAGGGATAACTGCCTTATTCTAGAGACAGGAGAGAAGCCCTAGTCCCTACTTCACAGGACCTGTCACATCTACATAACCCCAACTGGATGGCATTCCCCTACATATGGAATTATGGTGCGGGGATGGGAGGGGAGGGTGTTTAGAGTGCATGTGAGAGGGCAAAGAGGGTAAAAGGGAGGGAGGGAGGGAGAGGGAACTGGGATCGACATGTAAAATAATAAATTAAAAAAAAAATGTTTTGACTCCAAAATTTAACTTGAAGAACAAGTTACTGGGGAAAAGGATTTCTATTTTTGTTTCCATAGAAAATGAAAAGATGTGGATTCCTTCCAGACTAATGTGGTTTGATCACACCAGACCGCCTGAAACAGAGTACAAGGTGATCCTACATTCAAAACAGCTGGACAAAACAGCCCTACATACTACAGCCAGGATATCTGAATCTTCTTCGAATCCCCCAAGACAGCACCCCTTACCAGCAGGAAGTAGTTTGGAAAGAACGACGCCCAATTTCCCAAATATTGTGTATAAATGTTTGTTTTCATTTAATTGGACTTTGTTATATGAAATTAAATAAAAAATTATAAATAAAAAAAGGTTTTAGATTTAAGGGCAAAAGAATGGTTGGAAAAGATAACTAAATTAATTTTTATTTTTTGAGATTATAATAAAATTATATCATTCTTCTATGTTTCTACCTCCCAAAACTTTCCATTTATCACTCCTGCCCCTTCCTTGTTTTTACAATATTATGGCCTCTTTATCTTTAATTGTTGCTACATTACTTTAATAAAATAATTTGTTGTTTTTAGAAATACTATTTGTAGAAAAGTCAGGGTAAGGAAGAGATACTCAAATGGTTCTGCATGTTTTTAATTTATCCTGTTACATGGCTTCTGTGCTAACAACTCACTTGAAATGTCATTTTTCCTTTAACATTTATCAGGAATATCTGCCTCACTTATATTTTTAATAATTTTTAGATTGTGAATTTGACATTTTATTGGCAAGCATACCAATAAATTGTGGTTTAAAGTCAGTTGTTTTGATTTAACATAAAACATGGTCTTATATTTCTGTTGATAATTATCATTTCTCTAAAACTAATCTCATTTGAAGGTAATCATGGAGAATAATTTAAAAAGAACTAAACAATATGCCATATATATATATAGGTAACAGAAGCATATGGTGTCACTACAGAGTAGAACATTAACAAATCAAAGCATGTAACATTCCTGGCCAGCAGTGGATTTTGTTCATATCATATGGCTTTGCCTGTGTTTATTTGCCTGTGGTTATATTTTGTTCTAGTGATAGTGGTGACTTATAAACAAGCTTTATCACAAAAATAAAAAGAAATCACAAACACACACATACACACACACAGTTTTCTGTGTGCCTCTACCTAACTGACTAAATATGTGTTCATATATCTGAATAGCAAGCAGTCATTATCAGGAGTGTATCAACTCTAAAGTGTAAAATGGCTCCATATGAAACTTATTTGGTAAACACAATGCAAGTTTACTATATTGTGCCAAGGTAGTTGTGAAATCCATGGAACAATTTCAAGCAAGGCCTGGAATGATCAAAATTATGTGGTGTAGAGTTAATGATGGCTTTAATGTAGAGAATAGATTTTCATGAAATGAAACAAGTAATAATACCAAAGTATAATTTTTATGACATTTAGATGGAGAGATGATGAGGAACTGAACTACAATAATTGAAATAAGTATATCAGTAATTTGACAGTCTTTGGGAAGTATCTGGAAGATAGGGGGATTGTATTTGATGTGTGCAGGAAAGTGTTGTGAACTTAGAGATGTATGTTCCCTTGCATTCAAACCTTTATGACTTTCAGTGTGACTGTTTGAGAATACACAACTTTTGATGGCAATTAGGTATAAATGATATCATGATGATAAGAAATTCAAATGTGATAAGTGGTTTTGTAAGTAAAGAAATAGAAAACATAATTTAGGTTCTTTCTCTACAGCATGTGAACATGATAAGTACACACTGTGTAATGAATAGGAAGAAAGCTCCTCCTCATACTACACCTGACTCTTGCTTGACCCCTTGCTTTCAAAACAGAGCTACTAGGGAAAAATAGAAAGGAAGGAAGAAAGGAAGGGAAGGGAAGGAAGGAAGATGGAAAGAAAAAAGAAGGAAGGAAGGAAGAAAGAAAGAGAAAGGAAGGAAGGAATGAGGGAAAAAAGGAAGGAAGAAGGAAAGAAAAAGAAGGAAGGAAGAAAGAAAGAGAAAGGAAGGAAGGAAGGATGGAAGAAAGGAAGGAAAGAAGGAAGAAACAGGTGCTGTTGTCTGGGGTACCTAAACTGGAGTGTTTTGATTTTGTCATTTGAGCTAAGTCAGAGAATGAACTTGACCCTCTCTTAAATAGTTTGCGCAAAGTGTTTACAATTGGAACCACACACACACACACACACACACACAAATGGAATGGCGGCTGTTTGAAGAAAGATGATTTCATTTTGGGTAAGCAGAATTTAAGGCAAAAATGTTTTATGAACATTTTCATCTATTAAAGATGAATGACATAAAGGAGGAAAAGAAAAAAAATTAAAAAAAAAGAAAAGAAACAAAAAGCTCCTATACGATACCAGGATGTGTAGATACACTCATATACTCAGATTCACCTCAAATATCTCCAAATAAGTATTTTTTTCTCTATGCATCACATAAAGTAAGATGAAAGGTAAATTGCCCAGAGCTAGTAGAGAAGTCAATAAATACTTTTGCATACTCAGCCTCTTCTGGTGAACCTTGCCTTTCCTCGGGAGTACTTTCATTTCCTGAGGGATAAGTCATTTTAGAGATGGGTTTATTGATTGCAAGTGAGAAACTAGCAAAAGAATTTCATCTTGGTTCCTTGGTAGCAACAGGAAAACAGAGGGAGAAAGACATCTGAAAAGATAACTCTTGATAAAGAGTCAAAATTCTTTCCTTCAATAATATAAATCCCAACACATTATAATTTAAGAGAAACAATTGGAATTAGTTAACTAGCATACATGCCTAAATGAACCAGCATTAATTGTCTTCAGTCATTGCTTGATCCAGCATCATGAATATTATCGAGATTCAAATTATTATCCTATTTTTAATATACTTTCCTTTCTCCAATGCTTTGTTCTTATGTGGTTTTTCTATCATCTTGTGATTTCTATAAATTTTATTCTTATCAACTTAAAAGTTCTTCCAGAGGGCAAAAAAGATGGTGTACTAACAAAAGGACTTCCCACTCTTGCATAGGAACAAGGTTCAATTCCAATTATTGACATGAGGACTAATATCCCTGTCCATAACTCCACCTCCAGGACACATAACCCCATCTTTTGATCAGTGCAGGAAACTGATTGGATGTGTTGCATATGCATACATGAAAGTAGAACATGCAAGCCTATGTAAAACAACAACAACAACAACATTTTTATATCTATGGTATTTCTTAGCCATGATTTCACAGAGGATAGAATAGATGGATTGAGAGTCAGTCTGCTTCATTTACTGCATGTGAAGGCAGAAAACCAATGTGGTAGATTTCAGCACTTCACTAACAGGAAGGGATTCCTAATAGAAAGTCAAGTTTAAAACACAAGGGGAAGCATAGATCTTATGATGGTAGGATTGACAGCTATCCATAATAAGCCTCACAGTGAAAACTTCCAGGTTGGAATAAATAGTGTAATTGTCAATGTGCTAAGCTTATGAGCACAAAATATTTGTGCTCACCTTTTGCTATGGAAATCCATCACCAAAGTTCCCTTAATTTTTGTTAATTTGGGTGTTCTCCCCTCACCTTGTTTTGGTAGGATATTTTTATCTCTGACTCCTACAAGAATAGTCAGAAATAAAGCAGGAGGAGGTTCTCACAATATCTCTAGGTCCTTATAATAACTGTAGCTCCAGAGGGAATCCCTGGGTAACTTAAACTTTGTTCTTTCTTAGTCTTCCAATAACCTCATCCTGAAGAAGCTATATACTCCTGAACAGTTTAACATCTCACAAGGAAATATTTAAACTGCCTCACATTAGAAACCCAAAGTGCCAGGTCAATTAGAAGAACATAGGGAAGACAACATGAAATGCAAAATCTTATACGGCTGCCTGTTTTTCTCTTTCACAATGCTAACATACCCGTTTCTGCTCTCTAAATTGCTTGCTTCTTTGTCCCATTAAATCAACAGTGCTAGTGGATCTTAGTCATGCTGGATCTCTGTCCCATTACCAGCTACCAGAAGCACACAGGATTGAGGAGATGAACTATAAAACATTGCTTTTTCTTATTTTCTAGTTAAAATCTGAATGTGTCATTGCATATTAATATATCCCGAGTATCTAAATAATCTCTATGTAGTAAAAGTTTTTAAAATTATTCATATTAGTTATTTATTTGTTTTTTGGGGGGGGGTTTGAGACAGGGTTTCTCTATGTAGTTTTAGAGCCTATCCTTCAGGAGCCTGCCTCTGCCTCCTGAGTGTGGGGATTAAAGGCATGTGCCACCATTGCCTGACTAACTATTTAATTTCAAACTTTAATTTATTCTGTGTCTTCAAAAGAGTAAATTTCATTAAGTAACATCAGTTATTTGTTGCTCACACTGTATAGCATATATTCACTGTACAGTAATAATATAGATAAATAATAAAAAGCCAACACAATGTTTTTTTAAATATATATATATATTTTACTATGTAGACAGACTCAGCATCATCTGTAAGATCATTTATTTTATAACCTTCATTGCTCTTTGCCTAGCATCCGGTATAGTGTGTGAAAAATAGTAGACTCTTAATAATTGTATATAGAGTGTTTCAATAAAAGAGGATTCCAAGAGCAGAAGACATGGAGACAGAAATTGTAAGGTTAAAAAAAGGAGAGCAACAAATTGCAAAAGTTCTTTATAATAAAACAAACCAAAAAAAAAAAAAAAAAAGATAAAAAGAAAGAGGAAGAAAAACGTCTCACCATGCTGAGCTCCAGCTCCACGGCTCTCAATTAATAATCAAGGTTCTATAATACCATAGTGAAAATTTTTGAGAGAAAGTGCAGATTGCTTCCTGAGAGCTTCTGTGATGCTAATAGAATCTTTAGACTCCATTGTCGTCCTGATGATTCACAGGTAAAAAGCAAGCACACTTTTTTTGGCCTTCATTATCAGCCCATTTCTGGCCTGATTTGCTTTAGATGATTTAGACTCTGCTGCACCTGAACTGTGACTTCTCATATCGGAAAAAGGAATGAAAGATGAACAGAAGACAAAAAGAGAAAAATGGAGAGTGTTAATTTTTTTTTTAAATCCTAGCATCCTAACACTATGATATAAGTTGGACTGTCACATTTTTGCAGGGCCCTCTGCCCCCAAACACACTTCTATTATTTTGTCTTGAAAGGTCATTGCTTTTATAATATCTAAAGCAAAATCCATTCTGTTTTGCCTTTGGTTTCTTTCAGGCTGTCTGCAGTCAACAGCAGAGTGCCAGGAAACCCATCTACACTCCAATGCTGTTCTGTCTGCCATTCCTTGCTGGAGCATTCATCGTACTGCCTGTTCCCATTTGTCAGGGGAAGATTTAAGCATCTCACTTGCCCATTAATGGACAACTTCCATACTTTCTGAATAATTTTAAGTGACTATAGTGCCTAAGAAGGTCAGAGAAGAAACAAAATGCAAGTTTCTATTGTACTGAGGAGAAGTGATTCCTGCTACTTACAGGCTTAAATGACAATCTGAATAGTCTGTAGTGAACAGAATAATTTTAACTATACACAATCTCATCGCCTGTCTACCAAAAAGATTCAAGGCACTGTATTAATAACAAGACCAGTTGTATGTAGAATTTATGTTTCCAAGTGTCCATTACTTCTGGTATGGGTGAGTTTTACACTCAAATATATGTCATCATCACTTCAAAGTGTAAAAATAAGTAACAGGACAGATAGCCTAATTTTATATAAATATCAGTGCTCAAGCGTTTCAAGTGGGAACCCTATATTATTTGAATTAATGTCATAGTTTTATGGTTTCTTACTTAGAAGAAAACTATTTGGCATGATGAAAAAAGTGATGGCGCTAAAATCCTGCTAGTCCATTCTAACTGGCTCATAAATGAATATACATATATGGGTATCTATTTATTTATTTCCCATATTAACACACTAAAATTTCAGACTTAATACCTTGAATCAGTTCCTTAAGTGGCTATATTTATTTTCTGCTTTGAGAGTATTAATACCATTATCCTCTTCTTTGAAGAGATATCTAGATGAATCTATACCAAACATGGAACCATTTGCACTGTTTGAATAATAAAATAAACATGTTTGAATAATAAAATCAGCTCAGCTTTCATTAATTTTGAAGTTTATTAAATCCCTCTCTCTTATAGAAAAATTCAACATAAAATCTAAATATAAAAACTTGTATGTGGTGTGTTTGGTGGTGGCCAGTTCTGGCATTGGGATTGCAGAGAAAGGCACACCCCTTCAGCTCACTGGCAGCCATTCTAGCTGAATTGATAAACTTTGGGTTCGGTAAGAGACCCTGTCTCTGAAAATAACATGGAATGAGTGAAGAAGAGATCAAATCCTGGTCTGTACATATATACACATATATGTACACTTGTACATACCCATATGTGCATGCTTCCACTTGGACCTATAATTCCATGCATACACACATATACACATTGCAAATAAACAAAGAAATTGTGTTTGTAAGATCAAAATCATAATAGGCTAAGATTATTGGCACATTCCATGTTCTCTGCATTCATAGACTCAGGCAAAAGGATGCTAGTCTGAGTTCAGTGTAAGCTACATAGTGAAACCTAGTTAATTAAAAAAATTAAAATAACTAATCATCCAACAATATTCTATATTGAAAACATCTAACTGGATGCTACAGTTTCCTTTAATACACCAAATTTTGTGAATTAAAGCATCTATTCCTGGACATTTTGCATATTAACATTTTTGATTGCTGGTTAGTAAACATATGCATCCTAATACATTTTTCCAAAATGGTTTTTAGTAGTCTTTACAAACACTTTTGGCTCATCTTTATTCATAGGATGAAGTCATAACACCTGCAAAACACTATTTGTAAGGTAAAAAAAAAAAAAGATACTATTGCCATAATTTAGTTGGCTAATAATTGGAGAAGAAAATTTGGTCTTCATTATATTTGGAATGAGAATACAGTGTACTCTCTACAAACGATTCTAGTCATGAGAAAAAAAAGGGCATGGAAATGCCCTCTGATGTTTTAGCTCATGAGGAAGTGTCATGTTTCTCTTCCGTTTTGTCGCTCCAGACAAACATAGAGTTTAGAGGAAGTTTATGTTACAGATCCAAGTAATTTTAATATGGAAATTAAATGCTTTACTTGCAATGCTTCATATTGATGAGGCTTCTGAATTCTTTAAGTAGAAAGCTGGTTGTGGTGCCATTCCGGTGATCTCAGTACTCAAAATACTGAGGCAGGAGGATTTCCACAAGTTCAAAACCAACCTGTGCTATACAGTGAATTCAAGATCAGTCTAAGCTACAGAGGAAGAAGCTGTGTCTCAGTCCTTGCTAGATCTAGGGTGAAAAATATTCCTGAAAATTCACAGACTGTGTGACTCAAGGCCAATTCAGGAAGATATGCTCCATTATGTGAGCCTATGTTAAGAATAAGTTCTAGTCTGGTATGATTAGGCAAAATAATAATCCTAGCTAACTAACATCATAGCTAGACATTATGACTCAGCAATATCATATAAAGTGCAGACACAAGCAGGGATGAACATAAGTAACACAAGTTTGCTTCTTTATTAATAAGTAACACAAGTTTACTTCTTTATTATTGTTAAAACAAAGAAGGGGGTGTGGAAAAACATTCTAATTGGAGAGCAGAAGCCTGGAAATTATAATAAATGTCAAGGTTTTCATTATTTTGGCCATATAAACACTGATCCTCCTCTGAATTTTTGGTGAAGTTATTTATATTTGTTGATAGGACACTACTTATCTCTAAAATGAAGTTTGTAAAATGAATAAATAAAATATCTTTAAAGAGAAATATATTAGTAACATTTTATGCTGGCAAGGATGTGGAGAAAGGGAATACCTATTCATTGTTGGTGCAAACTTGTACTGCCATTATGGATATTGGTTTAACAGCTTTTCAGAAAGCTGGGATTGGATTTACCCCAAAATCCAGCTATACAACTCTTGATCATATACCCAAAGGACTACTAAAGAGAAACTTGTTAAGCAATGTTTATTTGGGCTATATGAATAATAACCAGAATAAGCAGATTAGGTGTCCTTCAGTGGATGAAAGAATAAAGAAACTATAGTATATTTACACAATGAAATATTACTAAGCTGTTAAAAACTGAAACAATGAAATTTGAAAATAAATAATAATAATAGAACTTGAAAAGAAAGTCCTGTATGAGGTTACTGAGACCCAAAAAGAAAAAATATGATATGTATTGTATTTATTTATATGTAGATATTAACGATTAAGTCTTCAATAACAACTATACAATCCATATAACCAAAAAGGCTAGATATAGAGTAAGGTACTGGGATCAGGAGTAAAGAGATCACTCTAGGAAGGAAAAATAGAATAGATAGTTATAAATTGATGGGAAGAACACTAGAATGGGAAGTTCATATGTAAAGAGGAAAGGAAAGTGGGATGAGATAGGGAATACTGGGAGGGAGAGCAAAAAATAAGTTTTTGAAGGGTACTCTAGAAAACTAATACTGTTAGCATCTTCCTAGATTATGTGCATATATGAAGTTGAACTAAATATAAATTGCTAAACAATTTAGTCACAACTGGACATCTCTCGTTACCAACTTAAGCCTCCAGTTTTGGGTGGGTTACATCTAAGAGAGTTGTTGGCCAAAGGTTCTCCATGAGAATTCTCAAACAACCCAGATTATTGCCACGGTTATTGGTTCTTCTCTAGAAACTGAAGGCAAAGCCTTATTGCTGTAGACAACACCTATACAACTCACTTAGCATGAAGAGGTTGAAGTTGTTCCTACCTAGAGTCTTCACCCCTAATTACTAGTGTTCATGTTACTGGAAGGTACTCAGAATGTAACATATCAAAGGATAAAGGTAAGCACAAACTCAACTACAAAATCTTTGATCCTTAAATGTGACTAGTATGCAAGCAGTACTAGTGTAATAATGGCAAAAAGTTTGTTGAGTATCCAACCAATATTTGATTTTGTTTAATTCCCACACAATAGGATAGAGGCACTACTCAACACTAATTAGACAGCCAAGAATATGAGACTAGATATGTCATGGATCTAGGGGAAAATCGAGGAACATAGGAATAAAGTGATTAATAATGACTTTCCGTTATGCTTATAGATCAGTTTTGTTTGTCAATTTCAGAGAAGCTTCCCTTCATCAGTAGACAGAAACACATATAGAAACCCACAGACAGGCAATGTGCAGAGAATGAGAAACTTTAAAACACCTACTCATATTGGAATATCTTCATCAAATACTTTTCCTTGGGACTCAGAGAATTCCTTTACAAGAGGAGGCAAAAAGACTTCAAGTGCCAGAGGAGTTGTAGGATGCTAATGGGCAAAAAGTCCTTCAAAACACATTAGGACAAACATATAGATATAGATATAGATATAGATATATGCAATCACAGAGACTATGGAAGCATGCACAGGGCCTGCATAGGTCTGTGCCAGATGGAGTCCTAGGACTGGAAAAGGAAGTGTATGGAAGCTCCAATGCTTAACCCAGAAGCTATCTCCAATTGATAAGCACGCACAGATGAACATATAATTTTCTCTCCAACAGGAGTTTCACTTGGCATGCAAACCATACTTAAGGCCAGGACCCATGCCCACCAGTAGATGACCAAAACAAAATGAACTCAATGGAATTTTAATGCTTCCTTCTCTCATATTGTTTTGCACCAGGCCTTTTTCTTTCTCTTCCTTTTTATCTTACTAAAAAAAGTAAATCTATATATATATGAAAATACATATTTCATTTAAATATAGAGAATTGTGTTATTTATATTAATTTAAGGAGTCTGGATGACTTTTCTGGGTCAACATTGGTAAATACATTTTATCTTTCACTAAATCCATATGACTCTTAGATGTTGATAATATACCAAGGGAATTCAAGTCCTCCTTAGATAGTAAGTGACCATTGACCCATCATTACACATTTCTA